TACAGTTTCTTCCTTTATAGGGTTTCTATAGTTTTCATATTTTGTCTCACACTGTAACTACATACTCATGGTCATAAAGGTCCATTTAATACTCACAATAGCTACTGTATGACAGTATTGCATACTTTATTTTAAAAGGATGCAATTGAATACTGTTTCCTCCTACAGACAAGTATGAAGTCATAATTTGGACTATTATCCAAATATTTAATGTAAGGTAATGTCCTTAATCTAAATCAAACTTTTAGAAACTGTTTCTATACTTTGACACGTAGATGGACAAAATATTTCTATTTCTACAGCAGCCTGCAACATATGGAAATGACAGATAAAAATGATAAATTCACAAAGTATTTTGGAAACAGGAACAATGAAAAATACTAAGAATATCAGAATGGGTTTGCAATTTGGACGTTTAGCATTCAATTCTGTGCATGTTTGGACAGGAGCTAGGCATGCTAGCTTGGGAATGTTGGGAATTGTAGGACATTTTTCTATCTAAATATGCATTGGATTGCACCCAAATCTCCTATTAAAATAAAAAATGTAAAGTGCATGGTTAAATATTCTGCCATATTTAAGTTTATCTTATATACTCTATAAGATAAACACATTGCTTAGTTGCAACCCAGATTTGCAATGCACAAAAATACTTCATTAGCAATATCATAAATATTGACTAGAACCCTAGAGGGAAATTATTTTTGCAAATTGATGTAGGCTTTTTGAGGGAAATTACTAAGTGCAACATCAGATATTTTTGTTCAGTAAATAAATATCCTTTGAGATTAAATTCATGTATTTAAAAAACTAGAATGTTTATGCAGATTAAAGCAAATATTTGGTAACCTCCTCCTGTAAAATCAACTGCATTGCAGTTCATTTGTATCAGATATGTAAAATACTAAAATGAATATACATTTTCTTTTTTAAAAAAGGTTTATCTTTAAAAAGAAGGTTTTAAAAGCAGGTTTATCTTGGAGGGCCTGGGAATAGGAAACCTGTGGCCCTACAGATGATGTGGGACTATGACTCCTACCATCCCTGATCAGTGCTGGTGAGAGTTGGTGTCAGATAATTCCTTGAGCTGACATACAGAGCCTTCGTCAGCACAAAGGCCCAAGTCCTTTTTTGAGACACTCCCAGGAGCATCATTCCTGTGGCAGGCAAAGCCAAATGCAAAAGGAGATGGGCCAGAGCAAAGGAGTGGAATCAGTATACCAAAATTACCAGCATATTTTAGAATGAATGGGGAAGAGGAGGAGAATTATGTGAGCTGCCTTGAGTCCTTTGTACCAAAAGGATAGGATATAAATGTAATATACAGATAAATCTCTCACTGCCAGTAAACAATTTTTAGAAAAGGCATTTCATTTTTCAGAATAGAGAAAAAACTAAAAGCTGGAACACTAACAAATGATCCGTGGCTGGAGAAAGAGGCTAGTGCCTGGGGAACTACCTGGCACTATGTCCTCCTCAGGAACTGAGAGAGCTGGATTCCCCCTGGGCCTCAGGTTCTGCACCTGTTCTCTGGAGAACCACAGGTGTCAGCAATTTCTCTTATAACAGGAAGTGATAAAATCAACTTGCAGCATGAACCCATGCACAACAACTCAAAAAGTAAATCCAAGGAAATTGCTTACGGTTTGTTTTAAGGGAAACAATGTATCATTTAAATCTAAGCAGTCTGACTAATTTCATAATGGACAATTGCTTAAGCAGTCTTTCTCTTAATTGATTGTAATTTGTTACTTTCTTCACTAGCCTAGGATTTGTGATATGTTCTGCAGGAGAAAGTTGGCATGTGGCAATTATTTATGTCTATCTGGGCTGTTACTACATTTTTTCAATAAGATGATTCTTGATAACTTTGTCACCCATTCAGTTTATATTTAACTCTTTCAGTTATTCTTGCCTGTAGATAAAATGATGCAATTAGAGGAATGTGGCCTATCAGGGAAGAATTCAGTGAGGACCTGGACTGCCATAGGTTCTCTTGTACCCTGCTAATGCTGAACTGCAAGCAGTAACTAACACTTGTGGAACAAATAGCATTTTTGAAGGGAAAAAGAGAAATTAGTGAAAATGCTCACATTTTGGAATGGGTAAGATATAGGAGGGTTCACATAAGGGAGCTTGCTAGCCAGTCCCAACGTGTAAGTGTTGCTCCTCCAGGAAAAGATGATAAATTTATGTTGTGCAAGAGTAGATTCTTCCTGCACAATGGAATTGGCAGGACCCACTGCTTGTGCAGGACAGTCAGTGGGGGTTAAGTGGGGATGTCATTCGACTGTTCCCAATTAGAAATTCAATCAGTATTTTTCCTTAGCAGTGACTCTTGCTGTCTTTCCTAGTTAGTTTCTTTCCACTTTTTGTTTGTCCTTTCCTCTTTCAAATAGAGAGGCTTGTAACTCTGTCTCAGTAGCTTGTAACTCTGTCTCAGTAATACTTGGTTCACCTTTGAGAGCTAGACGTGATCCAGTTTCTGTAGTATTGAAATTTTGCAAATAGTTTAGACATTGAGAGTAGAAATAAGCTCTTGATACTGTTGAATTTCTTAGTAAGCATTGATACTGCTAAGCATAAGACAGCATTTTCTAGCTTGATGCCTTCCAGATGTTTTCGATTCAAAATCACATCAAACCCAAGCCAGCGTGGGCAATGACCACAGATTACAGAAGCTGTAGTCCAAAACTGCAGTTTGAGGAAGACTGACATAAAGTAGTGAAGTGACACCACATAATTTTCCTGATGCAAGGTTCTCAAGGTGTTCCAAGTGGTGGCTCACATTTTTTTGAGACTTTCCTTATGGGACACTAGTTACTGTAGTCTCATGTCTTGCTAACTGTGTAAGTGGGGCTGCTGGTGGCAACCTGGAGTTCAATGCTATCTTGGTGAACTTTGCCTTTATTTTAGAACGTATCTGGAATTTCCGTACTTTTGGATGTGCTCAGGAACTGGAAAAGGAGAGCTGTTTGAAATAGCACCAGTAGACAATAATTTATGTCTATTGATATGGTTCACGTAATCTGTTGGGTTACTTTCCCCGATTTTCAATCTTGGGAGCATTGTGATGTAGTTCTAACCCTTACTAGTCCAGTCTTCCATGCGTTCTTGGGTCCAACTCTCTCTCTTTCCCAACACATTCCATTTTACTCAGTGAAAAGGTAAGAGTTCACAGATGATGCATTAAAACAAAAACTAAAGGGGTTGAATAAGCCTTGCTTCTCTCTGTCAGCTAAATCAAGAGCACTTTTCATATACTATGACAGCAGTGCCTAGTGGGGAATTAATATTTTCTGTTCAGCAATTATTGAACTATGAGTATTTTGCAAGGAATATAGAGGGCTTTTGTGTTCTACATCTAACAGCTAAGCCACGGGATTATTTTAATACGATGTTTTATTGATTTATGAGGTTTTCCTTTTATTTTAATGCTGCACATCATCCTTGAGGGATACAAACAAAATAAATCATTTAATAAATGATGTAATGAAACTTATTTTTTGTATCCATTTGAGTACTTTCCCTAATCTGACTTAAAGGTCTTCATGGATTGTACATGAAAATATGGAAACAGTGTAGGAAAGTGTAGTAAAAGTACCAACTTAAAAAACTGAGATGGCTTAATCTTTTGTTTTTATGTTCCTTCTTAAGTCCCTTCCTGTATTATCTAGGAGGACAGGTCATGACCTTTGGGACACTTAGCTGATAGCAAAAAGGCAAATGCAGGGATCATGACCGAGACATATAAACAACAGTGCATGTTATGGACAAAGTGGAAAGAGAATGTTGTTTCCCTCTTTTATACTACTAGAACATGAGGTCACCTAATGAAATAAATTAGCAGGAGACACATGATAGACAAGTAATAGTATTTCTTTGCGGAATTCATGAATTGTGAAATTCACTAGCATCAGAAGTGCTGATAGCCATGAATTTAAATGACCTTTAGACAAGTACGTAAATAATGGATCAATTGTGGCTGTTATCCATTATGTCTATATGGAACCTCCTTGTGCAAAGGCAGAATGCAACTGAATACCCAAGACGGCTGTTCAACAAAAGGGGTGAATTGTTTTCATATTCTGCTTGTGGCCTTACTAGAAGTATCTATTTGGCTCCTGTAGGAAACAGGAGCCTGGGCTTGATCAACACTGACATAATGTGACACATTTCCTTTAAAGCATTGCAGTTTTTTTAAACTTCACATCAGAGTTGCCATTAAAATTATTAGATTACATTGCTTTCTTAAAGAGAGACAGTATTGTAAAATTGTTAGAGATTTTCCTTTGCTTTTGATTGTGACTTTCATAGGCCATAAAAACAAAGAAGCTGTATTAGTGTAATGATCTGCTGGGCAGCAAATTTTGTGTTAACCAACTGGATTACCATGGTTGTTCATGGACTGTTTTTACCCACAAACAACCTAAAGTGCATGGGTTCAGATGTCATGGTGGCAGCCTACAAATGTAGCATTACTAGGTTGTTGATGGAAATAGGAACTGGCTTGCATGATACATGATACCCTGAAATTCATGAGTTCATTAACCTAAGATTTGCTACCAGAACTGCTATAATGTGCAAACAGGCTCAAAGGCTAGGATTACTTTGCAATAATGTTACATTCTTAAAAAGAGAAATAATGTAATTTTTAAGGTTTGCTGTTTTCTAAGGATTATTTAATGTGTAATCGTACACATCTTTTTTTCTTGGAGTCTCTGTATGCATACTGTTTAATCAAATTTAGTCATAGTTTAATAAAATAGATTAAATATTTACAAAAATTTTTATTAAAGTGCATGTGTGTATTCAGGGACAAATAGAGTTGGAATGAAATAAGAACATAGTAATTAATTGAACTATGCTTCCCCTATTATGATCAATAAACATTTAAGAAGAATAACAGGATAGGTTGTAATATATCAGTTAAGTACATAGGTAATGGAATGCAGAAAACATAATATCTTCCTTTTCTCTCACCCCCCACCCCCAATCAGGTGAAAGCTATGTGTGTGCGTCGAATGAACCGTTTCGGAAAGTTGATTACACTAAGAACGTTAATCCAAATTGGTCAGTCAACATAAAATCAGGGTCATCTCGATCTCTTACATCCTTGACATCTTCCAGAAGTGAATTGAAGGAGAGCAAAGACTTCATTAAACCGAAACTGGTAACTGTTATACGGAGTGGAGTGAAACCACGAAAAGCTGTGAGAATTTTGCTGAATAAAAAGACTGCTCATTCCTTTGACCAAGTGTTGACTGATATAACAGAAGCTATTAAGTTAGATTCAGGAGTTGTCAAAAGAATTTGCACACTGGATGGAAAGCAGGTAAGATAAATGATAGTTATTATGCAAAATTTAAGACTTGACTGCATATATGCAAAAGTTAAATAATAATTTTAAATTCTTGAAGGTACATATATTCACTGTTCAGCTTCCATTGGTTCATTTGCATAGCAGGTGGGAAGGAAGAAAGGGTCATTGGAAGCTTGTAGTGTTGACTACTAATTAATACATTTTTCCAGTAACTCTGCCTTGCAATTGTACCCTGAATTATCTGGAAAAATGCAAGTCTCATTTTGTATATGTCAGATTAGCCTATTAATTGAATGGAAGACACACTGGAGCACTACACGTACCAGGACTTGTTCAGGAAGGGCCTTGATTAATTCTGTCTTTACGTTACAAAGGCTGTAGGCATATTAGGTTTCTGACTAGACATGTTTTACCAAATTGTATAATCCTACAGGTGCATTTGAAGACATCACAAAGCTAGATTGTAACTGACTTTATTCTTTTAGAAATGTATTTGTTGAATGAATATTTTCATCCTTTTCTTTTGCTGTATCAAATGTTTACAGCAACAGGACTGATGATGTGCAGGCTAGTTTGACAGCCATTGGTACCTTCTGCATATGGTTGAAAAAAAGTTCTAGAGTTCTTGAAACACAGTCATATTACAAATAGACAAGTGCTTTTTCCAGTATTGTGATATACCAGTGAAATCAGTCTCATAAAGCCTCTTTCTCTTACTTTATTAGACAACACAACATGCGTATCTTCTTTAAAACTGCAATAGCTTTCTGCTGTTCTGGAAGTAATATCCTGATGAAAGTTTACATGATTCTGGTATTTTCCTAATACAGTCTTAGATGAAGCTGATAAAAGGGCACAACAGAGTTTGGCAAATAATGCACTTTGCTTCCAATTACCAACTCATGGAACTTATTTTTTCTAATGGGCTAAATTGCTCATGCCTTCGAATGTGCTTAAGTAGCAAGTTTTTACATTATTGTACAGTTGACAGATACTAAAAAGAGCTTTGGGGGAAGCATTTTTAAGTAGCTGATTGAGTTCCACCTTTTAAATACATTTTATAAACAAAACATTGTGATGTGTCCTCTTCAACTTTGTAACAAATTAGTGAGTTTAAAAAACAAATGTATGGTTGCTTTCTATACAGTGATATTTATTGTAAAAACATCATTTGTAGTAAATGCCATCCCAGTTTAATAGATAACTGATAAAATTTTGTTAATAAAGTCAATTAAACTTGCAGTGTAATCCAATGATGTGGGTCAGAAAGTTTTCTGCTATTTTTTTCTGCAGAAAAAAAATTCAATTCCACACTGCTTTTATAACATTAATCAGATTGCAGTTTTGTACATACTTTCCTGAGGGTAAGACCCATAGAAAATAGTGAGTCTTTTGAACAGTCATGTAAAAGACTGCACTGTTGGAAATGGAGCTGGTACCTTATCTGGAAAATTGAGCAGCTTCTAAGCTGAAATTATAAGTCCGTTGTTCTTTGGACATACTAAAATTAATACACTGCAATATTTGCAGTGACATCGCTGTTCATATTTTAAGAAATGATGGACTGGATAGGTGCATACAACTGGTCTGGTGGAAGCAAACTTCCCCAGCCTCTCCTTTCCCCATGCCCATCCTAACTGGCTTAGAAACAGTTTCCATTGATCTCTGTGGGACAAGAGACTTGCAAATAAATCAGTTTAGGATTTGACTGTAGCATCTAAAAATTTGCTTTTTGAACACCATTATTCAGAGTGAAATGATACTTTCAGTTAGCCTCTTGGCATCCAGATAAAAAGAGCTCTGGCTTTTAAGAAATGATGGACTGGATAGGTGCATACAACTGGTCTGGTGGAAGCAAACTTCCCCAGCCTCTCCTTTCCCCATGCCCATCCTAACTGGCTTAGAAACAGTTTCCATTGATCTCTGTGGGACAAGAGACTTGCAAATAAATCAGTTTAGGATTTGACTGTAGCATCTAAAAATTTGCTTTTTGAACACCATTATTCAGAGTGAAATGATACTTTCAGTTAGCCTCTTGGCATCCAGATAAAAAGAGCTCTGGCTTGCATATAAAGTTTTTCATCTCAACATTCTTTGCTATGTTTTTGGCTTAGAAAGCTAAATGACATAAGTTGTTGGGTATAAGCCCTCAGAAAACCCCTGTATTGATTTGGACTGGAATTTTCCCTTCTTCCCTGTCACTGCAACACTGTGATTTTACACTTGATCTCCCTAAGAGTAGCAAAAAGGCTGGGTGGAAAGGCTACATTTTATATTGATTTGAACCAGCCATCTTATATTTTGACTGGAGATTTCTGGTTCTGCTTATATTGGACCAGGTGTATACTATTGAAAATAAAATTATTTTAGCAGTTAGGCTTGTTGGTTCAATGCAAATGTAATGCAAACTGTGGTTCATTGCCTTTCAAAACATAAGGTGAAACTATGGCTTACCTTACTGAGCTAAATCCTGTCTCAGACATCTAAACTCAGCCGTCTAAAACAATGCTACTATGTTTAGTACTGAACAGTACCATATTAAGAATCTGCTTAAGGATCTGAATTTGTATATCGGCTGGAAACTTTTCCTAGCCATATGTTGTGGCTTGATTATTTCAAAGCTTTTCATAGCAGCAGGAATTTCAAACAATTGCTTTTTTAGTTTTGTTTGCTTTGTAACTTTAGATAACTTCACAGAAGTGGAATGAGTTTCAAATGGGTAGGGATATAGGCATGTTTTACCATCTGCCATTCTGGAATCAAATCATAAGGCTTGGAATTTAGTTCTTGAATATCTGTTGCATCCCACAGAGTTAGGTAATTTACAGATAATTAATCCGGGAAAACCTTTTTCTGCAGCTGGATTTGCCTAACATTTTCATTGGTTTTATTCAGATACCTTGTTTTGTTAGCAACTGCAGAAATTGATAAGATGGGTCTAAGATTTTAAATAACTGCTGCTAGATTTGAGTTTTTCTACAGCTTTTTGAAGTGGTAAAAAGAAAGAAGCATTGTGTAAAGCAGCCAATTACTTTGCAGTTAATTTTGTTTTTCTGAGTCTCACTGATGCTTTCTAAAAATATTTTCATCTTTAAAATTATTCCACCAGCAAAATTTAAATCTGAATGTGTGTGTGTGTGTGTGTGTGTGTGTGTGTGTGTGTGTGTAAAAGAGGGGAGGTACAAAGGTGGAGGTGGAGAAAGAATCCAGTCACTGATGGGGACAGCATGGGAAGGCTGTTTATTGTGGCTGTGAAGAAGTTGCCAATGACCAGCTGGTCTTCCAAAGAGGAATCCCAGAGTTTGTGGCATTGTCATTGCTCCAGTGTAAATATTCATATATCTCTGCTTAGGATATGCAAGTGTCTGGAGAACAGAATATTTCAGTTGTAGAATTCATCACTACAATGCCCCCACTACCAAGGAAAGCTAAATCCACAGACCATTTGCTACCAGATTGATGTTATTTATTATGGCCTTTTGCATCATGGCGGGGGGGGGGATTCTTCACAAGTGTTATTACCACCACCATTTTCAGATGATGTGGGATCACTCACAAGGAAGCATTAATCACCTCCCTGGCCCAGCCAGTTGTTCCCTCCTTGCTGGTTTTATCAACATGGAAGAGCAAGACTCTAGTAAGGGTGATTGTATGAACCTGGCCAAGCTGCTTGTCAGCATCCTTGAGCTTACCAAGTGAAACTCATCCAATAAAACAGGACCAGCTGTGCTCTGGGTATCTTAATAGATTCAACTGCTTTAGCTCTAGAGTCCTGGTGGGTGTAATATATTTTTTCTTGGAAGGGCACAGCAAATAAATTACAGCAGGCCTCAGATGTTCTTGGAGTCAGCTTAGAACACTCTCTGGACAACCCTAAAAAGCTCCATTGGGCAGTTAATGGAAGATTGAATAGAGGCAGAGAAATGTTGTTTCTTTGCTGCCCTCACTGCCGCCTCAGTGTTATTTGATTGCTCTTAGTTACAGGGTATATCATGAAGATGAGGCTTGTGATGATTCCTTTGGAATCTGGCCCTTTTCTGTTCATCAGTCTTCTATCTCATGTTCAGCCTTCACTTAGGAAGTGAGCTGAGCTGAGAAGAAGACCAGGAATGTTCACAGAATTCCTCGTATACAACCTGGCATCCTTTTCCTGCAGCACATGTAGCACAAAGAAAGTCCAGAAGTCACATGCTTGGAAAAGGGATACTGCTTGCACACTGTTTGCATGGGCTCAGCTCCTGGTCAGTGTCTGCATGAATTCCAAGCACCAAGTTGGACTTAGGGCTACAGGAAAGCAGGATGAAGTTGGGGAACCAATGCTTGGAAATCTGATGGATTCTCATCCAGTGAGTATTCCTTGCACATCCTTAACTGAGATGTACAAGTTCTACAACAAAGAGGGTGTTTAGGAGCAATAATTTCTGTGTTCCACAGCTTATCCAGGATTTCAACAGGTGTACCAGCCATATCAGCTGAAGCATCCCCGAGAACCCTCTGGTAACTCTCTGGATTCATCAGCCTCTGGAGCTAACCATCTCAATAGGATCCCCATCCTTGCAAAAGGGAAAAGCCTTTCCGTCTAAATCTAAGCAGGCAGTGATCTGACCATGACAGAGTAGTTAACTCAAAGTCCCCTCCACGTGCAGAGCACTATTCTTGTATCTGGCTGTAAAGACCAAGTCTAGTGTATGCCACACCTCTCTCTGTTAATGGTGGCATTTGTGACTTACTCAAATATGGTTTCCATTGATTCAAGCATGCCCTCATGCACTGATTGGCTTAAATCAACCAGATAGCTGTTCCCTTGCCCTTCTTTCTTCATGCTTGTTCAAGTCTCCAAGCAGGTTCTCCACCTTGATGGTGACCATATCCCTGACTGGTTGAACTTGGGCAGTTCTGCACCTCTTACGCAGATATGCTGTCTGTTGACTATTAGTAGTAGCTTCTCTTCCGCAGGTTTTCCCATAGTCCTTCTAGATTCTGCTGGCACTTCCTTGGGTTCCTTTTTTGGG